TTTTTTTGTGAAAGGTTTTTTTACTTGTATGACATTCCATTCACTGTATGATTGTTGTCTTGGAATTATACGAGACTGGTGATTTTCAAGTACTTACAAATACGTACAATTTAGTAGTAATTCAGCTTTGTTGATAAACTTTTTAAGTTTTGGATAATTGACTTTAATATTAATATTGTAATATACACATGGTAGGACCTGATCATGGTACGTGTGAGTGTGGGAAGTGTATTTGTCTACCTGGGTGGAAAGGAAGTGCATGTGAGTGCCGAGATACTGAGAAGACTTGCTACCCACCTGATTCTTCAGTAAGTAACATCACAGAAAGCTGTACTGTTTATTTCTTAATTCACTGCAAAATATAAGACCTTCACAATGTGTTATAAATCAATAAATGAATTCTGATTAATGTAAAGAGTATTGAAGGAAATATTACCCACATGTATGTGGTAGTTTGTAGAGTGTTGCTAGAGTAAATCTTTATGTGGTAAATTTGGTTAGACATGTTTAAGTTATGACCAAAAAAACAAACAGCAAAAATAAAAAGTATTTTGAATATTCTTTAATAGGGACTCTGCAGTGGTCGAGGTAGCTGTGTATGTGGAAAATGTGAATGCTGGACAATTGACAAGAAAAAATATAGTGGCGATTATTGTGAGGAATGCATCGTGAGTATTAAGTGTATACCACAGTTATTTTGAATTAAGAACATAACATGTGTTTTAGATAATTATAAATGGTTGAACATGCTTAAAGTATAAGTTAATAAAAACATCAGTGTTGAAGTAAAGGTTGTGATAAAACGTCAGTGTTGAATTAAAAGTTGCTATAAAGTGTCAGTCGTTAAGTAGAGACTGAGAAAGAGTGTGCTCAAGTGAAGATTACAATAAAGTGTTTGTGTTGAAGTGTAGATTGTGATAAAGTGGTTTCTCTGTTGTTGGTACCTTCTAGGTCGTGATGCAACCTTAACATGCATCCGTTCACCAGCATCTTATGGTCAGAATTTACATATAGCCCCATTTTTGTGGAATTATGAATTTGACACATTCCCTGAGTCCTTGGAATCACGAGTTCCATCAGTACAACAACAGTCTACCATTTCCATTTTGTTGCCTGTTTGTCTCAGTTGGAGCCCAATATGGCACCTGTTACAGTTTCCCATCCTTCTCCTTCCCAACCCTTACCTGTCCCTCTTGCTCGGGGTGCCTCATCTTGTCCTTTTCTTCAATGATGCATATCACGTTGCCAACAGTATCAGTGACTACCCATTGGGTTCTGGTCCGGTGGGAGCTCAACTTGCCAATTTTCTTAATCAAGGATCATTGGGTTCTTCAAGTTTTATTGGAAGGATTTGTGATCCTGTTTTTTCTCCACCTCCTGTGTCTCCTATATCCATTTCCTTCCCTCTGCTTCGGGATTATTGACTGGCCAGTGTTTATTGGAGGTGGTTCAAGACCTACTATCTCAGCAGGCCATGGAACCTGTTCTACATACTTCACCAGGTTTTTATTCCAGACTCTTTGTTGTTCCCAAGAAAACTGAGGACTAGAGGCCTGTCATCAATTTGTCTCGCCTCAATCGAATCGTTCAACTGCCCTGTTTTACCATGAAATCATTTCTCACCCTACAGTGGGCACTTTCTCCAGGTGTTTGGATGTCCAAGATGGATGTTGCCAATGGTTATCTACACATCCCTGTCTCAACATGGTCTTGTCCAGTTCTTCAGTTCATCCATCACGAGGTGGTTTACCATTTTTGCACCCTACCCTTAGGGCTTGCTTCTGCCCTTTATGTTTTCTACCGGATGGTCAGAGCTTTTGTTCACCATCTTCGTGCTCTGAGGCTGCAATTCCACCATTATATGGACGACTGGCTTCTTCTGGCTCATTCTGAACTGGAGTCTGCCAGCCATACTCATCAGCTCCTTCACGTGGCTGCTTAGGTGGGCTGGTTAATCACATTGGAAAAGTCCTTCCTCTGTCCTACCCGACATCTTGTCCATTTAGGTGTCCTTTTCGACACTCATCTCAGTCGGGTCCAATCTTCTCCTTTACGACTTCATTCCATCCAATTGTTAGTTTGCTATGCCCTTTCAGCTACCTCACTTTCTGCTCACGAGGTTCTATTGCTTTTGGGAATGTGGTCTTCAATGACATCACTGGTCCCCCTCGGTCATGTACATATGTAATCCCTTCAGTGGGATCTTCACAATCAATGTAACCTTGCTTGGGTTCCTTGGTAGCCCCTGTTACCCATCCTCATACCCCATGATGATCTGCTTTGGTAGTTGGACAAGGCCCATATGTTGGTAGGTGTTCCTGCTTCCTCCCCCTGATCTGGATTTACATCTGTTTACGGATGCATCCCTTCAAGGCTGGGGTGTGTGGGTCAATCACCAAGAGGCTTCAGGCCGTTGGTCTGTTGATGAGCAGATTTTGCATATCAACGTCTTCAAGCTTCTCATGATCTGTCAGGCTTTAAATCACATCCTTCCTCCCACCATTCTCTGGTGATGATTCATTCCGGCAATTCCATGATGGTAGCACATATTAATCACCAAGAAGACACCCAGTTAAGATCTCTCTGTTTTCGTACATTGGATATTCTGTATTGGGCCCACATGCACCACATTCATCTCATTACATGTCACATTCTGGGTGTTTTCAATCTCATAGCAGATCTCTTTCCTGTCCTGACCAAATTTATCCAACAGAGTGGTCTTTAGGTCCCATAAATTCCTTTATGCTTAACCTCCAATCTGATTACTTCATCGGGTAGTCTCTCTCATCTATACCACTCTGTGTCAAGGGAACCACAGCAGGTCAGTCAGTGGGAGATCCCCAAGTAGTAGACCAACTGTTAAACATTTTCCATTTTCACTGATACACCTCAGTGAAGAATGACATATGAAATGAGCCAAAAGGAAATCTACTCCATGATATCCTTGCCATGGACTGGATAAAAGCCAGGCATGAAGATGAAGGACGTGAATGGTGGGATGTAGAACTGGTGACCGAAGTTGACAAAGAGGGAAGTAGACAAGGGGAGGTGTACTTAAAAGAAAAGTTGCAGTTTGTGTAATCTTGGAAACCATGGTTAAGCTGGCCAATAGGAAGTGATCAGAGGGACAGTCAAAGAGCAGAGGGAAATATGTTTTAAGGGAAAGATGAAACATGGAGCGTGAGGAAATAGGTTCAAATGAAGGTAAAGTGAGGGAATGGAGGACCACATAAATATCACAGTCTGAAATACTATGCCGTCTGAGGAGACAACGAATCCAGAAAGAACAGGAGAAGCAAAAACTCAATGGTATCAGGAAAAACAAAAAGTATGAGATAAGGCAGCTCAAAACCCAAGATCGAAAAGACCGAAAAACCCCGGTTGAAAAGCCATGTGAGAAACTGAACCACATGGATGCTGAAGGCCTGTTTTTTTGCCATTGACATTTCACGTATGCTTTATCACTACACTTATCTTCTTCTTTATCCAGATTGTTCCTTACTCCCAAAAACCTCAGCAGCTAGAGTAACTCCTTCTTTTTGCCTACTTCCCTTTCTTCTATTTCTCATCTCTGCACTTATCCCGATCAGGATAGACTTCTATGTCCAGTCCATACCCTTCCTTGTGTTTTTGCCTGCACGGCTTCCTTCCATGGTACCCGTTACCATCTTTTTATCCCTTAGCAGTTTTCCTCTGTTCATGATGTATCCCCTTCTCCCCAAACCAAATGAGTTTGACGTTTGCTTCAGTCGGTTTATTCCTCCTTGTCATCTTCCCAAAGGAATTTATTCAGGATGTATTTTCATCAGATTTGACACCTCACCTTTTCCTTTGCATCTCGTCTTTGTCAGTCAGTGGAGGAAATCCTACAGTTGGAGATGTGGACTAAACCTATTATGTTCATCTTCCATTATTTACACCAAATCACGGTTTCTTCTTTCATGTTCCACCTGAGGGCATTCTTCATGCTTTGGTGTGACTTTGACTGGGTAAGTCTATGTTCATACATTTATTTAATTTCAGGGGCCCTTGCTTAATTTATTCTTTCTAGGGATCCTGCTCTGTATGGATTGGTGCTTGACTAGGTATTCTTCAATCAGAAATCAGCATTGTACAGCCATGTTGACTCGTACTTTAACTTCCATGGTTCGCAATGCTCACCATCGATATGGGGTGTTCCACAAAATCACTTGTAGGTGAGTAACCTCACAATGTGATTGGTTCATAAACTTGCCTGTTCCTGACCATACCACCCATGGACTGCATGGGTAAACCAGAAGGCGATAGCTGTCCATCCCTGCCATGCCTTGTATTGAATATATCGTTATGGTCTGCTTTTTAAAATAGGGTTTCATAGTCACCCATTGCACTGTCTCAGGTGATGACATTCCTCTGGACTCTCCAATGCGTTCTCACTCCCCTTTCTTCTAGTGGAGTATAGGAGTCCTTACCACTTTCCAATTCCAAGCCACTAAGGTGGTTGACTGTGGAGGCACCCTCCTGAATGTGTTCCACAAAAAGATGGCTATAATAATTCAGTGCAGAGTAGAGAGGTGGTGTTCTGTGGGTGTAAATGATGTGATATCCTCCACTATGTGTTATACAATCACTAAGGAGTGAGACGTAAACTTGCAGCTCATCCCTTCAATTGGGAGCCCTCATTCTATCCCCCGCATGGATGTCAGTACCCCATGGCCTGGTTTTAGTGATCCTAACCATGTAACTCAATCCCACAAAGTATAAAAGTGGTTAAAACAACGAATGTGCCTCTAGGTGTAGAGTGGCTAGGCCACGATGGACGATACTTGGTATTGAAAGGATGTCTAGTAAATATAAATCAACTCCCCTAACAGCAAAACCAACTGGAACAATCCAAAAGCAATAACATCCTTGGAATAAGGTACATGAAGGATAGCAAAAAGGACAGAACCAGAATAATTCCCCTTCCCTCTGCTGTGACCCACAAAACAGAAGGAGTATAATTAAGGTAGGAATTTAGACAACCATAAACATGTGTGAGGACTTATGTTGGTTGGTTCTACTCTAAATCCGTCCTCCCACAATTCTCTCCCACTTGGAAGTGTTCTTTTTTTTCTTGCCCTTATCTCCTGCACACTTCACAGATGGATGAAGAGCATACCTGCAGTTCCCCTCATCAGATCTTTGGATCTGACTCTCTCATTTCCCTGGGTATACTTCGGACACTTTGGGGGTACTCGCACCAGTCCCTCCACCTAAGCAATGTGGGATTCTAGCTAATCTTGTCAGAAGAGGGAAGTACTGTATCAAAATTTATAATTTTCCTATACTGAAAATGTATTTCTGATAGGTACTTTCCTCTTCTCACCCTTCTTCCCCACTTTCCTCTAGTGCTTAAATCTTCTGCCAAACTTCAAAGTGATAGTTTGTTATGGGCTTATAGAGAGAGTCTCATATGTCATGTACGTCATGCTACTATTGGTGAAGAAGTGACGCATGATGATTTGCATGAGTGATATGTTGGAATCATTTGATTCCAATAGGGGGAGCAGAAGGCTTGTGGCATGTGTAAAGAAAAAGTTTGCATATAGAGGACAGTACTGGATGAGAATATCTAATCTTGTGAATGGAGGGAAGTGCCTATCAGAAATACATTTTCAGTGTAGGAAAATTATAATATAAATGGTTTAATTAACTCTGAAATGTTTAAATTCACAAGTATACTTAACAATACGTTTTTATTAGTTACTGATTAAAGGTTTCAAAAACTGTTATAGATAGACCAGTCATATTATGATTAGTTTTACACCATTATCTTTGCCTGAGAATACTATATAGTGTTTTTTAAAGTGTATAAGTAAAGAATGCAGTTCAATGCATCAAATGAGAGGAAGTAATTTAAAACATTTAAATGCTTAATGATACTTTTCTGTTTCACCAGAACTGCCCAGTCAGTTGTGATTCTCTGGTAAAGTGTGTTCAGTGTAAGATGTTTCAGTCTGGCCCTTTATCCCAGGAAGAGTGTGTCCGTTGTAACTTTACACTGGAGAAAGTTGATGAAGCTGAAGGTATTATTATTTTCCATTAATCTGATTTCTGACTTCTTTTTAAACAATATTATAACAATTTCTTTATTCAATAGAGCTCGAACCCTCTCACTATGGGCTCAGTGTATTACACCAACCTTGTGACCAACAGAGTTTCCATGAAATTAAGTAAACATTACAAATCTTTTACTAAAACTTGTCCATGAACATATGAAGTCGGAATATTTACTGCTTTGAATACAAACTGATTTTAATGTTAAGATTAAAAATTCTTTTCTTCATTGGAAAATTCTAAAATTTCATTTGCATAATCCTCCTAACTAAATATCAGATATTTTTTAGTAAAACTTTATATTTTATATGTTATTTTCTCTACCCTAACTCTATACCCATTTGGCCAATTTGAATGACCTTGTAATCACCATAAAAATCTAGGAAATGAATCTAAATTACCCATTTTTCTTTCTACAATGACTGTAAATTGTAACTTGATACTACCATTGTGTATCTTAAATAGCTTAAAGCTTGTAACAGTATACATCTCTTTTACTTGATTTTATTGATTTATTGCCTTTTGAACCATGTCTAACTAATAATCCTGCCACACAAGTTGTAAATCACTTGGCGAACATGCAGCTCACGTCACCATTTCAAATTATGTAATGCACGAGCTGCTTGTGAGCATACCTCATGAAAATGTTTTTTTTCATTATCTTACCCAATCTAACCTAGTAAGTTTCTAATTTTTACATTTTAGTTACTTTTATAAAATTAAATAAAGAATATGCATGAAAAACAAGACATACAGAATTTACATTTGGCCTCTTGTTTTTCTGCTGTCAGTTGACAATGAAATTTAAGTCTACTTTTTTGTACTAATGGTACTAATATAATAGGAAATTTTTTTGTACTTAAATAATGCACCAAAGTATACAAAATAATAATAGCATAAAGCAAACAGTGTCGTATAATTATCATAATTTTTCTGGCTTTCAAACTTTAGCATAAGAGCCTTTAAATCTTACCTTAATTCATTGAGTGCTGATTTGCTGTATAGGGTATAGTTTGCCAAAATTCTGTGTGCATTTAAAGCAGCCACAGTCAAGTGGTTAAGCTTGTTGATCTGAAGACTACAAGAGAAAATTTCAAACTGCAGTGTAATGTAATAGGTCATTTGATAGATTAAAACATTGGCTTTCTATTAGTTATGAATAATGTAGTGTAAAACTTCAGAGAGAACTATTGTCAATTTGTGAAAGAAAGGATGAGACAGGTGGGTGTGGCAAGTGGATTTGATTTTCTAGTTTATGACTGTAAACAAATAAGATTGAGGGCTATGAAAATTAGACTTTGCCTTAGTAATATTAATATTATGATAAATAATTTACATTCAGTTCCATGCTTTTAAGAGGGAGAGTAAATAAATTAGAGAAGAGGGAATACCTATAGAGCAAATGTTAGAATTCTCATACTAGATTAGATTGAGGATCTTTTAAATACTTCTTTAGGAAATTGGGGATTTAAAACCTATATAATATTAACATTTGATTTATTAAATACGTTTTGATGTCAGGTTTGTTTACATACAATGATAATAAAGTAATTTAATTAAATAAAAAAAGTTATGACATGCACACTTTGACCTGCCCATAGCAGGGGGCGGGGGGGTTAATACATGTTTTGTAACAGTTATAGTGAGTCTCTTTATGATTATGTGCTTAACAGATTTACATCCAAAATCTATATTATATGTATGACTGTTTAAACCAAGCATAGAGAAATAGAATTTTAATACCATTATTTATTACTCTTTGTGTGTATAGAGAAAAAGATGAGTATTATATCTGAATTTCATTGACAGGCTATCTGTTATTTAATCAGAGCAATCATGTAAGCAATGTGTAAGAATAATTATGTTGTATATTCTTGTGTCACATAATCTATGAAAATGAAGAAAAAAGCAGTATAGTGTAATCTTATAGTGAATGAGATGTTTTTCACATTTTTATTGTCTTTTTTTGTTAATGAACTGATTTTGCTATTGATGGATTATCCATCTTATATATACATGTTTCATCCACTATATATTTCTTCTACTTTTTGTACACTTTATCATAAACATATAATACTATCTATAAAATATTTTACACTTATTGACAGTTATCAATTGTTTATTTTCCAGTTTAGATGTTATAAACTTTTTTTTCCAATAAAAACAAAAATTGCTTAATCTGAATCCAACTTTCACGTTGAAGTTTAACACTAAATATTTACATATTTGACATGCTCACATGGTTTACAGTTTGCCAACAGTGATATTTTTATTTCTATTTTAAAATATAGTTTATAAGGCAAATATATGTACTGTAAGTAAAAATTGTATAACAAAGTTAACTTCATGCATGTCGCCTGAAGCAAGTTCTAGGAAATAAGCTGCTTTGTTTAATAATTCAAATACACAGTGAGATTAAATAACTATTAAAAGCATATGTAGTCTGGGATACTAGCTTTTTAATTTTTGCTTATTGAAAAAAAAAGTTCATATTTGGTGATCTATCTTTCAGTTTGTTCTATTTTCTGAAGATGTATTAATTATCATATCTAAATATATTATACTTGCCTGATCAGAAAATGTATTTTATACATGTATACTGAAAGGTAGGTTTTCTGACTGGGACATGTTACTTTACTCAACATATTTGGTAATACTGATAGAAAGTAATTACTCAGTTTAGATAGTACAATCACTTTTCTTTGTTATGACATTTTTAATGTGTCTGGAGAAGTTGTTCTTTGTAATGTTTTTTTTTGTAAGATTTCATCTGTGAGAATTCCACAACCATATAATTATATATGAACCCCCCCCCCCCCCCAGAAAAAGTCTTTGTGAGAATTTAATGTATCTGAATAAATTAGGGAAGAATAAAAACAATTGATCATTCAAAATAAGTCATATTCATGTTTAGTACAGCAAGCTTTATGTATTCTTTTGTCAAGAATTTTTAATACTGAAGCAGAGAATAGTGACATGTCTGGAAAGACATGTTGCACGTTTTGATTGATATTGTATACTTGCTGATATAGCAGAAAGATAGGTTAAGTATGGCACTGTGTTATAGGATATCTCCTTCTAATGAACATGAGGTTAGGTAAATTTGAAGTAGTCATCTGATACACAAGTATTAGTCTCTTAAAGAGACTAATACATAGTGTGTATCAGATGATTACTTCAAAATTTATAAGCAATGTAGTAACAAATGTTTCATGGATTTTTACATTACCTTATTATTTTGTTAGTATCAAGTAATTTAGAAGTCTTTCATTTTTATTCAGATAATGATCTATGAATATATATCTTTATGTATCTTTTTTTTAAGTCATAAACAAGAACCAGAAGATTTGTGTTTTCACTGACGATGATGAGTGCAAATTTAAATTTGTTTATGAGGCCAATCAAGATGCTGTAAAAGTCTGGGCACAAACTGGAAAAGGTATGTTTGCAGCCAAGAGAAACATTAAATTAGGAGTAAGCTATTTGTATGTCAGGTTTTCATTATAACAGTTTACATTTATGCACTGTTAATCAGTGTGTTGTTTAAGTAGTCCTTTCTACTAAGTATACTAATTATTCAACTTATCCAGATGCCAAATAATATAATTTATTTTACCAAACATGGAAAAGTTAAATACTTTTAACTTAAAATGTTGAATATGCTGCTAAAACGTAATTTTTTTGTGCATACGATAGTTGAATGTAATTGATAATTCATACAGTGGTGATCTGCTTGTATGAAATTTGACAAAACTTTGATATTAAATTGCTAAATACATTTTAGTATTTTGACTACTTCAATAATAATGCATAAAAATTTCAACCAGTATCATGTGTTACATTATATATGGTTTCTCCATCCAGGTGATTATTAAATTTTATGCATTTTAGACTGCCCAGAACCAGTCAATGTAGCAGCAATAGTGGGAGGTGTTATTGGAGGAATTGTCTTGATAGGCTTGCTGTTGCTTTTAATCTGGAAGATTCTAACCTCAATTCATGATCGTAGAGAGTATGCAAAGTTCGAGAAAGAAAGAGCCATGGCTAAATGGCATGCTGTAAGTTTTTGTTTTTTTTAAGAACATTATTGTAAGGCTAGCAAATATATATTCCATTTGAGACATTATACTATCCTCCTTGAGATTTGCTTTTTTGTTGTGTCAAGTGTTTCACTGAATGGATCACTGAAACTGAACAATAAAAAATTGCTTACTCCTTTTGCTTACTTTTGTACATTAAATATTTCATGAAGTTGATGTGTATATTGATATAGTTTCTTGATATCAACTAGATTAATTTATAGTGTTGATTCTTTGTTGTCTATATATGCTAAACTAGGTCTATGATGTGTGAAGTCATAATTTTGGTATTCTACATAGTTAACTTTATTTATTAACCCTTTCGCTATGGGCAGGTTGAAGTGCACATGTCTTGACATTTTGGAGAGTTATATTCAAAATTTTATTATATAACATTATTATTACTTATGTCAATGAAATTGGCATCAAAACATAGCTTATAATTGAAATTTTAATATTATATATGTTTTAATTCCTTAATTTCAAAGGAAACGTAAAGAAAAATATGCTAAATATTGATTTTTGTGTGTTGCATAGCACCTCCTCTTGTCTTATTGCTCACATTATATTTTATTATGCCTACCATACAATGTGTACAGTGGTTAGCGAATTGAGATGTGGAAAAGCTAAATACAAAATAAGAACCTCCCACCTCTTTGATTTGCTGAGATGTCAGTATATTTAGCAAGTCTACTAGAGTGGCTGCTCCTATTACACTGTTCTTTCAAAACCTCTTGTCTAGTCCCAATCTACTTTTCTTGAATAGAAAGAGCAGTTTTCTTTCTATGTAAGTCTGCTAATCATTTGTAAATAGCTTGAAGGAGAAAGTCATAAGTTCACAAACAGTGTTGAAGTGTTATTACTAAATCATTGCTCTGAATGGGAAGGGGATTTTTGTAACCCACATATTGCTTATTTAGAGACCCAGATAAATTACAGGGGTTTTGTGTGTACTAATATAGAAACTTGATAAATTTTTTGGTTTTCTAAGATGTATATTTGAAGCCTACAAAAATTAATATCTCTTAACTCTCCACTCAGAAGAATAAAGGAGGCTTATGGTGAGGCTTAACATGTACGATGCGCACACGCACAAAATTTTGTAACACCATAAGTACTCAAAATCTTTGTTTTACGATGTATTTTTTATGCTCCGAGAACAGGATGTGGGATTTATTGGCTTCTGTATACTAAAATGTTTACAATGAGAATTTACCACAGTAGTAAGACTGCACTTAAATCTGTGAAAATGTTTATTATATGGTTCCGAGCCAATCGATTCAAATTTCAAGTGATTCAGCATTGGTCATTCTTTTGAGGTGTTTGAAATTTAATGGCATAGGTGTACAAAGATACTATTTGTGCAAACTTTGCAAAATACAATGATATTTTGGCTACCATACATTACATATCTATAAATATATATATTAATATTTACTCATAAGTTTTTAATTTTAATTATTTTTCTTAAAACATAGAACAATATACGGAGACATATTTGCTTAGTTCATCATGTGTGCTTTGTTGCTCTCGAGAGTATTGTATTATGGTGTCAAGTAAACAGTCTAATGACACAAGCGATGATTTGTTGCTTTAGTTTCAGCAGGTTTCTACTTTAGTTTTTGACAGTAAAATAAACACAAAATATATATGAAATGTTTAGCAATTAACTTTTAAGAGAAGTATTTTGAAACTTCTTGATCAATAATGAAGAAAAAAAAAGGACATGGCTTCTCATTTTATTTCTGATTTTACAACTTTTCATTATACTTTAATGATTTGTCTACTGGCTGAAGAATCAAATATATCGTTAGGATAAAGATAATAACAGATAAAATATAAAGTTTTACTTAAAAAATTTTATATGTATTTAGGAGGTTAAATAGGTTATGCAAATGAAATATGATATTTTTGAAATGAAGAAAAGTATTTTTAATCTTAACATGAAAATCACTTTGCACTTGGACTAGTAAAAAAAATCAATGTATTCATGGACAAATCTTCAGTAAAAATCCTCCAATAAAAATCAGATTTTTTGCATACAAAAGACTTGTAACATTTATTAAAGGCCACCAAATTTTGTGAAGATACACATACTGTATTAAAAGTTATAGTATGGAAACTATAGTGAGTTCAAAGGGGTTACAAGGTTGGTCAATTCGACCGACCCCGTGTTGAGAGGTGTTAATTTAAATGTAAACCAGAAATATTTCTTTATACAAACTTAGAAATAGGAAGTATTGTTTTATTAAAAATATTCCTTTCTTAAGATAGGAATTACATGACACTTAATTTCTTAATGGGAAAAAATAAAGGTGAAGTATTTTTATACTGTACTGTCAAGTATGTTTTATTCTTATGAAATATTGTTCACAAATAACTGTGTACAATAAACTAAATACTATTAATTGCCATAAAGTCCTAACCATGTAATGATGCAGTTCCTTTGAAATACTTAATACAAAACCTACATTTGTGGAAGTTTTTTAATGTAGAATAAAGAAGAATGGATGGGATTATTGGTCAGTGTTGCAGTTTTGTTGAATAAGTTCTTGAATGGGCCAATGGCTAAAAAAATAAAGAATTTAGAAAAACAAAATGAAAATGCAGTAGATGTAGTTAAACATGACCTATGTGAAATTATTAGAGCTTCAGAATCAAGTAAACTGAAAACCTATCTTTTAATGAACCTGGATTTAACAAAACCTGATATATATATATTGGAGATGAAATTATAAATGATTTTCGAAAATTCATACCTTAATACTCGTATTTAAAAATTGAAACAAGGAAATAGTTGTTTGGTGAAAACAGAACAAGGTGAGTATGCAAAAGAAATTCAAGTAAAAACACATTAAGTTATTTTACCTTAGCTAGTCATATAGGATACAAATATGCAATTTGATATGACACCTTATTTCCACTCAGATGTTAGCTTTCCTTGATTTTGTGCTGACCTCTATCTGTGCTAGTTTTTTTTACTTACCACCAACCTTGAGGCTCCTACATAAATTCTCGTTTCCATGTGGTATTGGCACACTGCAACATGCAAATGAGCATGAAACAACCATCCACACAATAGGAGTGCAACACACCCTCTTAGCATAGCTGACTTCCTCTATATGGATTGTTCAATAGTCATTTTTCAATTGGACACTCATATGTAACAACGTGTCTGTTTTTGTTCATGAACTTTTCAAATATAGATTTGTTTTAGTGGAAGTATCTACA